ACGGTGATCATATGGACAAGACAAGTACTAAACTACGGAAAACATGATCATAATGAAGAATAATGAAAATTGTGTGTCCAACTATTTTTCTGAGGTTTTTTCTACATTTTGTCTTGATTTCTTGGCATTATTACCACTTCTCGCTTATCGATATCTTCCCGATTGCAAAATAGGGTACCGTACTTTTAGTCATTTTACATTGAAAAATAGTCAGATAACTTGAAAACATCTAAATATGGAGACATTTTTATTTCCTTAAAATTTTAGGGCTTTTGAACTTAAGCATTATAATTTTTTGAACAGCCGGTTTTTGGCGCACATAGGCAAATGGCTCATAAAATGGCAAATGGAAACAAAAGTGTCGATTTCCTTTTTACTTTCCGGTTTGTTATATTCTAACTTAAAACATTTTATCACAACTCTTCGCATTGTAAAGCAGATCATCTAAAAAATAGCTTTCATCATTCTGCTGTCCCACTATTATTTTTTTGAACACAACTGTATGTATGTTTGTTAGGGCAAATCTTGCAATAAATTTTTGACCCACTTCCCGATGACCTAGAGACTTTAAGCTTCACAGTTGGCTCACACATTGGCGTTCACATTTATAAAGTTTGCTTTAAAAATATTTGTTTTTACTATTAGCTTACTTTTAATTTTCTGTGGGCTTTTACGTTCTTTGTATAAAGATTTTGTAGAAAAATTGTTCTAGAACATTTTAACCCTTTAGCGACCATTCTATTCAGACTTTACCAAGAAGTGGCCAAGCTACTTATTACGCTCCGATATGCATTATAATCCTCTAATTTCACTTATTCTAAAAACACTCTTAATGTGGCACAAAAAAAATGTTACCTGAGAATGCAAAAAGATCTCGAGGTTTACCATATGGGTATAGGTCTTTTAACTGGAGCTGGAATCATTCCGCCGAAAGACAATGACCCCGAAATCGTTGCACGGCGTAGTTAAGTGTGTTTTTTTTTTTATATACAGGACATTCACCTAAATGCCTCGCAACCGCGTAAGCCTCGTAAATCCCACAAAAAATTTAGTAAGTTTACATGGTTTACGTGGTTACGAGGTATTTAAGCGTTTAGATGCATTGCCCTATGGTTTTAAAACAACTGGTTTATGCATTTGTATACTTCACAATCAAAACTTTTTCATTTTCCATGTTGTCGAAAACTGAAAAATTTCGCTATCCAGTTATTTAATGCTCTGCTTATGTTTTTGTAATTAGGTTCCTGGCAGTAATCTCGTGCAAATTGGAATTGATTTAAGTGAATTTTACTTATCCGTCGAATGGGACATACTCGAAGTTCCTGCAACTAAGAATGAGGAATATTATCCAGACACTTTGGAACCATTTTCTGGTAATGCAAAAATTTGTACATTTCACTTGTACACATGTGTGTACATATGTGATAAAAATAAAAAACTGTATATAATAAATGTATATTTTAATATAAATATGTTTGTGTTAGAAATCGAAAGTTGTGCAACTCACCTTAGATGAATACTAAAGATTTCTTTATAATTAAACTGTAATTTATAAAAATGTTGATTGAAGAAAAAATTAACTAACTTTTAGTTTTAATTTTCGAAATCTCTTCTACAACATTTCTTCACAGATATTACATTTAAGCTTACCATGCGTCGCAAAACACTTTTCTACACCGTTAATTTAATTGTACCATGTGTAGCATTGACATTTCTCACGGTGTTGGTATTTTATTTACCCAGCGATTCTGGCGAAAAGGTATCAAATCCAAATTCAAATTAGTCTTTGTATAAAATAAATATTTGTTTTTTGTTACATTTATATGTATATAAGTACTTGCGACACACTTATGGAATTTCGTTTGCATGATTAGAATAAATAGAATAAGTAAATTTTGCATGTCCAAATGTATTTTGTGTAGAAAGTTTTTTTTCTGATTTATGTAGAACTATCTCTGTATATACTTATAGTGTACATCCTCTGTTTCCTTTTAACGCTTTCTAATGCATGCGATCTCTTTGCAACTAATTCTAATACACTTATACTCTTCAAATACTTTCTTATCACACTATCATTGCACTCTTAAATTAAATCGTGAAAAAATTGGAAGAAAGTTAGCAGCACAATTAAATACATACGTAGGTGAATATAGAACTAAATATTAATAGCATAAATAGATTTTTTTTGCATTAAGGGTATTCACGAAACGCATTGATTGCATAATTGAATATAAATGATTAAGTTTCATAAGGTAGGCATATGTGAAGTTAAGAGACCAGAATAGCCTATCTAAATATGTATATTTTTGAAAAAAAAACAATGTTGCCTTAATGAAAACGTGTATTATTACATACCTCGTAACACTACACCTTAGGTCAGTACTCCCCAATTCTCCACCGAAATTATTTATATTCAGATTGCTAATGCTGCTTTGTGACACATTTACCAAAAGCTGCGGGTAACTTCCTGAAAAGAATACGAATGTTTTTGCCACTAATTTGTGAAGAGAATGTTCAAAGCTCTATTCACCTTAAGCAAAAAATTCCGAAATTGCAATCCGTAGATTCTCTCAAGGATTTGCCTTTTTGCGAAGTTTTTGCGAATCGGCGGGAGTGTCTTTGTAACAAAGTTATGGTTACGCTGCCGGAGATGAAATGTAATCCAAATTGATTTAAGTGCAAGCAAATTTCGACAGCTGCTAAAAAAATTTAGCTTACGCATTTTAGCATAAGTAACTTTAGATAAGATCATAAAGGGTAACTAGAAATTTACCCATAAAAAAGTGCAATGTCATCCGGCTAGGCAATCACCCGGCGTCCTATTCCTCTCTAGCTCCTCTAGCAAGTCGTTTACCATCCACTGAAGCGGTGAGATGACGCGACCTTGTGACGTATTCTTGTCCACCCTACTAAGCTGGATGCTAGCAGTTAGTCAAAACTTGGTAACTGCTGTAGTGGAATGGTTAAACACCTCTATTAAAAAAAACTAATTTTTTAGAAAATAATCGAAAACTATCTTGATTGAATTGCCAGTGGTAATCGGTTTTTGCCAAGATTTTCGAAATTCAAATGACTAAGCAACAAGTTTGTGGACCAGTTTCGTGAGTACCACCATTCTTATTAAATTATCGTAATTTAATTCAATTTTTTTTTTTAATTTTATTAATTAAAATTTTAAATGTTCCGATAAATCGTACGCGCAGCTCTGTAAACGATTATTGGTGTCATAATATAACGCCAGAGGCATAACTATAACCGTAAACCAGCTCCATAACCATAAGCAGCTCTGAAGTATTTTGCTATGTTATGACTGAGGCGGTGGAGAAGCTCGGCCAAACACTAACATATGTGTAAGCGCCTATCTATTATTATTATTATGGCTAAGGCATTATGGTTATGGCACCTCGTATGTTACGATATGACAAGAGCGAAAGCAAATTAAAAAAAAAAAAAAAATAATACCTTCCTAGACAAGTTCCCTTAACCGAATACTATTCTACAAAAAGCATCTTGAATTAATATGATAGAGAAAACGAATACGTAAAGTATTTAAAATAACAAAATTATTTTTGTAAACATTTGTATAACATTTTCTAACTGACTAAATAAATACAATTTTTCTAATTTGAATAGATTTATTTTCTAAACTAACATTTATTAGCTTTTAAATAATTTTCAAAACTTTTAACATAATTAACATACCTATCACCTATTAACGCCGCATAATTTTTGTATCAATCGCAATCAGCAGTTAATTTAAGCAAAGGCGTACTTTAGGTACAAAAAACTCCCAGTATTTCTAGAGGAAGTACGCGCTATGCTTAAAAAAGTAATGAAATCTCATAACGTAATTTCATCGAAAGTCAAAAATAGAGTAAAATAATATAAAATAATAAAAATTAAGTTACTAAAAATTAGCACAAATTAAATCGAACACTCATTATTTCAAAAATCATTTCCGCAATGTCACTCGCACGAACACAAACAAGCATATACATACATACACAGAGCAACACAAACACCAAACAAGCACAAAAACAAAAAAAAAGCGACAAATTCGCACAAAACAACCACAAATATACAAACAAGTAAGCTGAGATCGGCTCGATTGCTCGCAGTAGCGCCGCCGTTTTGAATGTAGAATTTTGACATTTGCAAACATTTTGACAGTTGGAAAATGTATGTTTGTATTTTCGTTAAAAAACTGTTGTTTTTTTTAGTTGTAATTATTTTTGAGTAGAAACTGATTTTTTTTTTATTGAATTGAAGTTGGAGCTGTAATACAACTGAAAACCGAAGAGAAGTGAAATATGTAATTTATATCAAATTGCGTTGCTTGAGAATTTATTTATTTGTTGTTTTCCTTTTGTAAATTGTCGGTATTGAATGTTGGTTGTAAATTGTTGTATGTACACTTGCATTATTTTTTTGATTTTTTTTTCGCTGAACTTGGGCCAATACAAATACGGCAGTTGATCATGGAAATATTTTTTTGTTAATTAAAAACTTACTGAAGAAATGTGTATACAATTTTTTTTCTGTGTAGAATTGAGACAAAATACCTAAAGTGTAACGTAATTTTTTCGAAAAAAATACTACTTTAACTTTACTTTGAAATTCGAATTATTTTCGAAGTTATAGAAAAAGTGTTGGTACACTTCAGAGATTTGGTCTCATTGTTAGTTAAGAGCTAAAAACTATTGAAGGAAAGCGAATTTATATCAATATGAGGCGGCGCACCTTGTAACGAGGAAGGCACGAAGGTGTACGACTATGTCACCCCATGATACAAAACTGCAGATTACCACCGTCGTTTTTGCATATACATTAGGGCGGCCCAAAATTAGTAAAGTCGGAATTTTAATGCTCTCACCCCTTAGAATTGCTCTACATCGAAATAAATTCTATAACATTTCTACGAAAAGTTGTTTTTTTTTTCATACAAAATACAAGGAAAAGTTTGAGCGCTTTGAGCGACCTCTAAATATTTTTTGATTTCAAAATAAAAAAATAGGGGTATATTTTCCGGCAAAGAACAATTCTAGAGGGTGAGAGTATTAAAATTAAGACATACTTTTTTCACATGCATTTTTGGACCACCGTAATATACATACATACTATAAATTTCGGATGCGCTCGAGTACCAGTATACCCACCTGACTGTTTAATATTTTTTTCTAAATATTTTTGAAAGCCTGTAGAGGAGAAAGGGTATACATCATATGACCTGGTTTGTTCATATCAACTTATTTTCAAAATCCAAGACGCACTATGGGGCCACTACCGCAAAAACGATGTAAAAATAAACAAATTTCATGGAAGCGTTCGATAATGCTAATATCCACATCTAATGGAGAATTTCCCAGAAATTACGAAAACATAACTTTTATTAAAGACAGATTAGTAGTTTAGGAGATAGAACCACTGAAATTTGAAAATTTTTCCACACTGGGAACAATTTTTACTTTTTGTTCTTTTTTGACATGTTTGAGATTTATGTATTTGTATGTAAAAAATTTGAGCAATTGATATTTTCTTTAATTTTAATGAATGGTTCGTTAGTTTTAAGTATAAACTACAAAATTTCTTTCTCTCCGAAAAGGTGTTATTTCTGCCTGTTTGAAAGACTTAAATTTAGATGTCACTGCCGCCGCTTTTCACCAGTTTCGAAATTTCATGTAAAAGGGTTTTTCGTTAACTGAAGTCATATTTTTTGCAGAAAACCAATCAGGATTCTTAAGCAAAATTTAACGTTCCCAGCGATGAAATAGTCAGTTTTTCTTAAAAAATGATTTACGCCCCGCAATACCCCATTTGTGAAATCGCTTAAAAACAAAATCGAATGATATGATTAGTTTTTTGGGCCCTCTACATATGCTTTCCCAACATTTATACGTCCTGAACATAATATCAAAATCATTATTTTGGTGATTTTCGCAAGATATTTTCATTTTAAGTTTGTGAATGAAAAGGATCCAAATTTCAACAGGGAAAAAATTAAAAAATAAAAGATTTTTTGTAAATTCTTGACATAAAATGGATTGACAAATAAAGTTGTAAATGGTAAAGTGAAAATGCGTAATAATTTCTTTTTCATAATTACATCAATAGTCACACATGGCGTATGAGTAACATTCTTTCCTAGTCATATTTCATAATAAAATTAAAGTTTAAAAAACTAAAACCTCCCTTTATAATTGCCATTCGTACTGTCATCAGGTATGTAACTTGAGAATAGAAATCGCTGCATCTTTTAGCCGCATCAATATTACATAGTTACATCCCGAGCTAATAAAAGGAAGGCAAAAAAGAAATTGCTTTTCGTCGAACCGGTTTCGGTTTAATGATTTTGGGACAGCTTGAATTTACTGACATTAAGGTGGTACGTTAGGGTCATAACAGCTGAGATTTGGTGGGTAAGTAGTATGGTCATTAACTCGGCTTTTCCAATCCTCTTTTATCCGAATTTTTCGTAATTGTGATTTTTTGAATATCGAATAAACCGTAGTTTGGTTAACGAAGAAACCGGGTTTTCATCCAGAATACTTCTACAACTGTATTTTAAATTCATTATAATTCTTTATTTGTTGAATTGCTAACAAAACCAATAAGTATAGTAAAATTGCGTTTTGGCTTTTCTCTCTGACGTCAGGATGTTGTTTAACAGGACTTTGTAGTTTCGAAGATAAGATAAATCCCAAAAATACTTCAAAAATTCAATATAAAATAGATGGTGCCCCACCCTTTTAAATTTTTTTTTTATTCATCTCTCTGTATGCAACATAAACTTTGTTAAAAAATTTTCAGTAATTGAGGTCGAAATTACTGACAAAATTTTCGTCTTTGCGTTTTTCAAAAATTTCTCAAGTTTGACATGCATTCTAAAGCACCCTGTCGTTGAGGCACTTTGTGTTTCTAATTATTTTAAAGCTTTCCCTTCAGACGACATTTAAATTCTTTAAACATCTTTATTAATTCGAAAGTTATGATTTTTGAAACTAAAAAAGTTAAACGGCCCCATAGTGCACCTTTGCCAATACGAACGATCGTGGCTAAAGCAGGGTGACCCAAAGAACAGAAGCAGTTTTTAAATGATCAAAAAAGTATCTCCCCGTTTTAAATTATATAAGTGTTATTCCTACTTTTAAGAGTTTTTACTTTCAAGCGCTCGTTTTTTAGGGCGCAACTTTCATAAAGGTCGCATTTCGTTCAATAAGTACTACTTGCATTGTACTCTACTCCCAACACATTGTTACTCTTTTTCCGCATACATACACTACTTGGTGTTGAGAGAGTAAATACTTGACGTACTTGCTATTACTCCACCAAAGTACGTACTCTACTTTCTCTCATCGCGTACGAGAGATATTTGCTGCTGCCAAAAGGGAGTAGCAAATCTACTCTCTGTATACTTGTAGTACGGTAAGTACTTGCGTATTAAATTTCAATTCTGGTTGTTAGCCTACTAGTTGATATCGTTTGCAGCGCTGGTCAGTGAAATTAAAAGAGTAAAAATAGAATATGAAAATTGACGATGTAAGGAAATGTTTACGGCCTTATTTATAAAAAATAACGTAGATTTAGACAGTTGTTTAATGTGACATTTTCATAAAACTTTTGTATTCAAGCAGCTTTTTAAATCTATGTATGTACTTAAATTTTTATGAAAGTATTATTTCTCGTCTCTAATTTTCTATAAAACTATTTGCAGTCATTCACCAACAAATAAGTTGTCAAAAACAATAACTTAAGCAAAGCTGCTATACGAAATAAAATTATTAGTGGCAAATCAAAATTTCGAAAAGTGCCGATTTTCACATTCGATAGTTGGACATGGTAGCGACGAGATGTACGAGCATTTTTTTCTTAAGAGCTGCATACTGATTTAAGAAATTTTTTATAGAAGAAAATTTATTTTCAATTTATTGTGCGTAATTTTATATGAATTTTTAGTTTTTCTTGAGAGCCTTTACAAATAAAAAAAATTTCGGAATATGTACATACATACGCAGCCATATAACTTGATTTCAAGAGAAACGAATTTTCATTTGGCACGTTCAGAAGGCGAAAAAGCTCAGTAACTGGTGCGATCGCACCTTCTGAACGTGTTGTTGCGTACTTCTGATCAACTGAATAGTTGCGTGTTAGATGATCGTAATATTTTTCAGATCATTTGAGACAACATGTTGGTGTGTACCTTTGAGAGTTGAATTTGACAGCTAATGTATGAAGTCGTTCAAAAGACGCATAACGATCACTGATTTTTGTTTAGCAACGGTTGCGCTCAACTGCTGCGCCTTCTGAACCTACCTATTGATAACTTTTTTTTTTGATAACACTGCGACAGCTCAAATTGGTATTGAGTAAAACCAAATGCAAGATAGGGTTTTTGAATTTCATTGATTTTTTTTTAATAAATACTAAAATTAGAGGTGTATGAATGGCGAAAGAAAAACTTTATCCGATTTTTTTTTTAAATCGAAACTACATTTTTACATATGTACATATGTACATGCATACATAAATATATTTAATATGAAATTGAAATTTTGACATCAATTTGCGCTATCTTCAAACCCATGGTTTCAATTGTACGCATATCGTCAGGGTTTTTCCCGCAACTTGGTTTTGCTGCAGTGAAGCGACAGAACAAGTGACGAGAAAAAATATATGCGGACACTTACATATATATGTATCTATGCACATACGTATCTATGCACACACATACATATATTCTTAGGTATGTATATCAGCATTTTAGTTGAAAGTACGTTTTGCTCGTCGCTCTCTTCATCACTCCACTACATTTCTGTCCTTAGTTTTATTCAGATATCACAAATGCGCGATCCAGAAAATTTTTCTATCATTCTTGCCACAAATGTATGTTATCTTCGAAAATACTCAAGTACTACCAGTAGAGTACTCTACTGTCAAATACCTTTTACTCGCAGTAGTTGCGGAAGGCAAAGTAAATACTCTGGGCGTCTTGCTATTGATCGGTAGTTTACGTACGCTTGCAGAAACTGGTTTATGCTTACTCACACTTGAACCGAACGATGAGAGTAAAGGAGGGAAAGTATTTGCGCGGCGATCGGATGTCTTGTTAGGCCATTTAAATGGAATTGCGCAGGAGTTTAATATACACACATTTAATAATGCAATTGTTTATTAAGTTCATTAAGTTCAATTCCACATGGCATTTTTTTAATGCTATACATTTTTTGTCACTTCAATGCCCAGTGGAAATTCGGCATAACGTTTCCAAGATTAAAACAAATAAATACAGTGAAAAGCAATTAAAGTACGCGTCAAACGAAAAACTACCTGCTTTGATCGGACCAAAACTCGCTGAGTTATTTTGTCGAGGTTTTTTTTAATATATTCAAAACTTAAAAAAATGATTACCTAATTTAGAAATTTTTGTGGATATCTTCATTTTGTAAGTATATAAAAATAAATAGGTTATCCAGTTTTTCAGCTTTAAGGATTCACCCAAATATTTATCGAATTTCAGCTATGTTTGCTAGAAAAAAATTAGGGACCGAAAATAAAAGGTATTATCGAAACTATTTAAATGTCGTTCTCGTTGTTTTGTTCCCAGGAACGTTTCAAAACCAAAACCGCAAAAAACGCTGTGGAACGTTCCCATGGTGAACAAAATGCGAACATACTTTTTGGAAACATTTCTAAGAGAACAAAATGGGAACAAACGTCTCCGGAAGGTTTTGGCAAAGAACAAAACAGGTACAAAAATCTAAGAAAACATTTTATCATAGCGTTCCATTAGTTTGAATTTCAACGAAAGACTTAAGACGCGAACTTTTCATGCACAGAAAATGAAAAATTGTTCCATCAATTTTTAATGATGAGCGATCTGGAAATTGAAATGAGCCAGCTCCCCTTTGGCTTAGAATTAACAATTAAATTTACTGAAAAAAATTGTTCATCCCAATACGTAGACGCCCCTCTCATTCTTAGCTTTAAGTTCTCAAAACATTTGTTCTCGTTTGCTCGTTTTTGAGAACGTTCTTAGGCAAGTAATTTTTAAGCATAAAAAAGTGCTGCCGTTTGGTTTTTTTTCGAGCGAAGTCAAACCACACTAACGGGTATATTCTGCACGTTACCGAAGATTTTGTAACCGGAAAACTGTATTACAAAAAAATGTTACCAGTTCTTGTCACCGCGATTCTAGGTACGTTGGTAATGCAGTTAAAATATTCAGCAAATTCAGCTATGAAGAATTGTGCAAATTCTGGCATTGCATATTTCACGGGGCAATACTTTGTTACTAGCTTATGAGATGGTAACAAAATTTACCGGTTACAAGAATACACGGAATGCGAAAAGGGTTTAAAAAGTGACAGGAACTTTATTTTCCGGTTACAAACTTTTTATTACCAGCGCAGAATAGACCTGTAAGAGTGAAGTGTATCGAAGTGACTTGGATGGAAAAGTGAAGTGATTATCAAAGTGCCGACTTACAAGCATAATTAGGGGTAAGGGGTTTTTCGTTTAGGTTGTTGATTGGTCAATCGATAACATTTTTATCACAATAAAAGTAATGATGTATGAAACCTAAAATACGATTGTTATTTTCGTCAAATATTGACTAAACAATTATGAAACTTTACCCGCTTATTCCCTTCTGTGCGTTTTACATCTGTTCATGTGAAAATGAAAATGAAAATGACTTCTTCCAAATAACCTTTGCCAGATTGCAGATTTATTATGCGTCTTTTTAGTAGCTCTTTGCGAAAAGTTACTTTGCCATACTTATCATTATAAGGATTTTACCAAAAGTTTATTGATTTTAGTTAAATAAATCATTTCAAAGCAATTTTTTTATTTATTTTGATTATAAATCTAATGTTTGGAAAGTGAAGTAAAGTGAAGTGACGAAGTGAAGGCTTCCAAAGTGAAGTGAAAAACTTCAATTGAAGTGACAGCGGCAGCACTGATAAAAAAACCGACTTCAGTTTTCATATGCAAATTTAAGAGTAACGTTAATTTCTTCATGATCCAGTGATCGCATTAGTATGGGACCACCTCCGAGGTATCACCCTCAATTAAAGCAATCGATTAACGTAGTCCAAAGTTATGCGCTAACATACATTAAAAAAAATATTCCGATGAATTGATAACCTCCTCCTTTTTTATAAGTCGGTTAAAAAGTGCAAAAACCAGCCTTGCATAATCCTTGGACGGTACAAGTATTGCAAAGCAAAGAAAAACCGATGTTGACCGTGCAATTCCTGCACCGTGCAAATGTTTTGCAAGGCGTCGAGAATCCTCCTAATGTGAACAAGAAATTGGTAATGAATTTAAATAAATTTTCTTTAATTGTTTCTTTAGAAATTCGTTAAATTGATTGAAAGATTCATATGTATGTGTGTGTATGATTGTGTTTTTATTGGATTGTTTGCTTGTTTGTTAGGAGCATTTCCTTGTCTTTTGGTAGATAATAAAAATATAGTTATGACAGCTAAAAGCTATCAAAAAGCAATTATATTTATTACACTACACATACACTATTGAAATAAATTTGGAATGAATACACAAACACAGACATTTGTAAGTCGAACGAAGAAATCTCTACACTTGAATTTCGTTGGCAGGTTACGTTATGTATTTCAATTCTTGTCTCGTTGACTGTGTTCTTCTTGCTGTTGGCCGAAATTATTCCGCCAACATCACTGGCAGTACCGTTGCTAGGCAAATATCTACTATTTACAATGATCCTGGTCTCGTTGTCCGTATGGACAACGGTATGCGTATTAAATTTACACTTTAGGTGAGTAAAATATTTATGGTGAGGGGAATTTCAAATTGTGGGAGGTAAGATTATACAAAAAAAAGAGAAAGTTTTATTTCTGTTTTTTAACTTAAAACAGTGGATGGTAAAAGGAAGTGTGAGGAAAAAATAATTACGCTTGTAAATGTTTTCAACTATGAAATTTCACATTTTCTCGTTTCATTATACCCACATTGCTTTAGATCACCGTCAACTCATAATATGTCGCCACTGGTACGTAAACTATTTTTACATTTTATGCCGAAATTGATGATGATGCGTCGCACTCAATATACATTGCCCGACTATGATGATTCGACGCCCAGCAATGGCTACACCAATGAAATTGATGTGCGGTGAGTTTTTTCTTTTGAAAGATAACGAATTATGGTAGACACATACACATGTTTGTAAAATAGTTAAATATTTTTTTGTTTACCAAAGTTGCCATTTAAAATTAGAGTTAAGTAAATGTTTGTGATAGCTACAAGTGGCAACGTATGTACGCACGGTATTGGCTAGTAGTTTTATAAAATACAATATGTTTGCGAATTTTTTATCAACATTTCGTATCCAAACTTCAACTGTATTGTTGTTTTCTTTGTTGCTAATTTTTTGCTTAATTGAAATCGAAATGCAAGCAGCGATAGTATTAGTGACTTTCCCAGCGAGTTCAAGGACAGCCAAGAGGGACCCTATGATAATGGCGTGCAACAATCGATTGGTGAGTATCTTAGTGATAATTTTTGTGGTTTTTTCATTAACTAACACTAACACGATATGTATGTATTTGCATACCGTCTTCAAAGGGGCACAACTCAAAATTACACGTTTGTCAGAAAATGCAAAAACTACATATTTTTTAGCACATGATAATCTATGGGCAACGGAGATTTTACCGCAGGTTTTTTCAACCAATTATAACAAAAACTTGCTCCAGCTTTTGCTGAAAAGCACTTGTCTAATAATTGCATTTTTGGTAATAAAATTTTCCAGTTACTATATTATCGGTAACGTGCAGAATAAACCTGTAGGGTGCCATCTGGTTTCGGTGCTGTTCCATTTCGCGTTATTCCTTGCCGTGTCATATGCAGATTTGACCGAAAAAATAAATGTGTGTTTATGTTGCACAATTTGTCAAATATCTTTAGTTGCGATCCCGTGCGAGTCCGGACTAGTCAGAAATAGTCACATTTTACCGGAAATCGATCCCGTACTCGGTTCTCTGACTATTGAGAGGACAAAAAAGAGAGTAAATACAGTTCTCTCTCTGTCAGAAGTTACCAGTTTTAGTCCGAGTATTTTTTGCTGGTAAATTCTGGTAAATGTGTCAAACGATCAGCTGTAGTGTGTTTGGCAACCAAATTGTAAACAAAAGAAAAGTGCAGTCTGCTAATTCATGTTGAAAAGTATTTAATTATTTGTTTAGGTGGATTCTAATGAATTTGAAAGTATTTTTGGTTATTTACATGTGTGAGATGAGTGTGTTTACATACAAAATAAGCAAAAATTTACAACCAAAATTTAGAGGTTATGTTGAAGTTGACAGAAGTTACCATTTTTTACTAGAAAGCGATCCCGTACTTTTCAATGTTTCTCTCTCGCTCTGAGCGAACTTTTATTTTTTGACAGTTTTACTAGTCCGAGTCCGAGGAATACGGGATTGCACCTTTTAATAGCAGGAGGGCGTTTTGCTTAGACACCTAACATTAGAAAGTGAAATATTCGCCATTAATAGCAAGAGGTGCTGTAAAAATGTTTGAGAAGAAGCAGACCGTTAATCGATACTAAGCCTTTCTACCGTCTAAGGACCGATCCCTCTTCACTACCGTCAGCATTTCGTCGAGAAGCAGATTTGAGCACTATGTAGGGCTAATCGTGGGTTCAAGGTCTATTTGTATTACAAAAATTCTGATTCAGCTGCGCAAGATGCAGTCAGTTGTTAAGGCTGGTGAACGCTTATGACATAAGTATCGTTGGCCTTTGACCTAAAGTCTTCAGTGCGACGTATATTAAGATATACATAGTATGTGTTACATAAGTATCTTCGTTAAATTCGGATGATTGAGGGAACTTCGCAAGGGTTAGAGGAAAGTTATCCACGCCGACAAAGCTTCGTTGAAACGCCAATCAAAAATAAGGAAGATTTTTTTTTATTTTATTTGGCAAGGCTCCAAAAGTTCTTACAATAATGTGCTCGTACCGAATGTGTTTTCAAATTAATAAAAGGCTAAAAAAGAACAATTGTGCTCACTTTTACATGACTGCAAGACCTTTTAAGCTAGAAACAAAACCGCCTTCAATTATCATAAAAATTTAAGAGTAATGTTAATTTCTAAATGATCCAATGATCGGATCTAAACTAAATTAGTTTGAGCTCACCTCTGAGGTACCACCTTTCCTTTAAAAATAATAATTATAGAAATCGGTTTACGTTGTCCAGATATACGCCGTAACGTACATAAAAAAAATCCAACGAATGGATAACCTCCTCCATTTTTTGAAGTCGGTTAAAAAGAAAATTTTTAAATCTCAAGCATTTCTTTAAACTAAATTATAAGGAATATACATGAACGCTTATTTGCATAAAAGATCTCTGAATTCTATTTAATGGCTAATTTAATGTTGCTGTAGCGGCACTATGAAGCCCCGCCTAGGTCGGTTTGTCAATCAATCATTTTCGCCAAGCTCAGCTAACGGTAGGCACAGGAAACGAGCTGTTTCGACGGGGTTGGACCAGGGAGAGGGGTTGTTACCTGAGTAGTATTGAGTTGACATGTAAAGAGAGGTGGTAAGTGTCATGGGCGGAGTATCCACATGCCGGACACTCATTGGGGATTTAAGGGTCGAGTCTCGATATGTAGCGGTTTAGGCGGCTACAATATCTGAACCGTAATCGGGTCAGAGTGATGCGGGTTAAACCCGTTTATATAATTGCGATCCCCATTAATCGTAAGGCTACTTATCGCTCCGTTTGCTAAAATTTCATTTTGAAAATAAACTTTAATTCATACTTATGTATGTATGTTAGCATGTACTTGTGTTTCAAATAATCATTTATTGTACTTTATATAACGCAAGCGCTATTTTTTTTTTCTTTTCCTTTATTTGATAGATTCGGACAATGTGATACCGCGCAATTTGACACCTGAAGTGCTGCAGGCATTACGTGCGGTGCGTTTTATTGCACAGCACATTAAGGATGCCGACAAGGATAATGAGGTAAGTGTTGCAAATACAGCACCACACTACGTGAAGAAATAAATAAGTGATGGTGAATATTTATTGCTGGCCAGATACGAGTATGCCATAAGTTTTTGCTTACCTTTCTTCTACACTTCACCATGCACGCATTTGATGTTTTTAAGTCATTTTGTATAAATTTATTGGAGTTTTTATGCTGCTTATTTGTTTATCCCTTCGTTATTGCTTTATTAGTTTTTTCATTTCCCTCATCCGCTGCCTTGCCACATTCATTTGTTGTTATAATAATGCAATAAAATTATTTATTATTGCAAGCGCCATGCTTACCGTTACTTACTCTATAAAATTTGTGATGGCTTTATTTAATATTGACTAGCAACGAAGACAACAAAATCGCAAATATGTTCGAGATGGTAGGGCGATGCAATAGCAAATACTGATTTTATAGCGAAAAAGCGTGGTAGGACTTGCGAAGTTGCGTTGGAGATATTCTAAGATTTATTTTCATTTCTCTTTGTCAGTTTATTGATTGCTTAAGGGGATTTGGATTGATGTCGTGGATATTTGCTTTTACACACACATTTTACAATACATACAGTGACTCTAACAAATACATATGTATTAATAATGTTTTTCAAGTTAATTTTTTTGTTATTTTTCTATAAAAATATTTCCCAAGCTTTAACAAAAACCATATAAATGGAAGTTTCAAACTTTATGCAAAATTTAACACAAAAATTTAACATTTCAACACATTTTTATCCAAATTCAAACATTTTAATCCGATTTTTTTATACCATTACGCCATTTACAAAAACTGGTGTTGATTTTTTGAAATTCGTTGCGAACGATCTCCTGCATTTTATTTCATACGATCTTCATGCTTAAATATGTGGAAAAAATTGCAAACATCTACAAGAAAAAAAATTTATTTAATCTACGCGATTTTTGATCACTTCATTAGACTAAAGTTGTATAGGCATACACAAAAATCTTCTAAAAATTCATATAAAAGCTGTCAAATTCTGATGCAAATTTTTAAAATTATCCTAAACTTTGAATAAAGTTTGAAACTTTTATTTATGTAAGTAAGTGCAAACCAAAGTTCCCGAAATCTTAACGAAATCTTTAGGAGTATCTGATTTCTGTAACGATTTTTTTCCGAATCTTCAAAGAAAATTATATGAAGTGGTTGACACGAACTCGTAAAGAAATTTCTGTACGAAAAATAAAGAAAATTCTGAAAAAAGTCTGCAAGAAATTCTTCACATAGCAGCATTATTTTCATTTCTTCACCGATTTTCTTCCGAAATTTCGTAAAAGAATGGAAGTGTGCGTAATTTATTTCATTTTAGAAAATTCGGAAAAAAATCGGATGGGATCTTTCCGAATTCGTTAAAATTTCTTTACGATTCAGAATACTCTGAAAAAATGGTTTGCAGGGTATGTACTATATGGGTTTGTAAAAAAAAAAATGGTTGAAAAACATCGTGGTTGTTCACACTTGCCTGGTTATCAGGTTATCAGGTTATCTGGTTAAACATTATTATTCTGTAGTGTATTTTATTGTTATAAACTGAATAAAAAATATAACCACATAACCAAAAAACCTGATCACCAGGAAAGTGTGAACAACCACATTGTGAATGTCAAAAAAAAAAAAATTCACACGAGATCATTTACCACCCGACCAAGAAACGTTTGTTAGCGGATGTTCTCCGATAGCTTCTCTTACCCTCAATCTCCGCCTGACAATTGTTTAAGTCACTGTTTGTATGTATGTACATACATACATAGAACTACAGCAGAGAGCAATAAACAGCGCGACTTGAGCGAAATTTATGATTTATGTATAGGCATTTGTGCAGGCATTGTTTATTTGTCAGCTGTCAAGTGGCAATAATTTAAGGAAGAGATTTGCCTCAGGTTAATAGTCGTTTTTACTTACGCAGAGATAGCGAAACAGAGCGAGGGGGAGAGAGTGCAAGAGCGCGAAAAGTTAAGTTGATTTAAATTTTCTGCGGCAAAACCAGTGTTTGTGATAAGGTTAGTTTCAGTTTGGATTGATGAAAGTTGATTTGTATGACTTTGAATCATCCCTGACATCTTTAATTATAAACGCGTTAGCAAACTATGATTGCAGCCCCCCCAGAGCTGAATTAGGTTTTGGCAGGTTGATGCATGGCGAGTGTTGATAATTCACCAACTCTTGTGTTCCGTTTTAAACTTCTGCTTGACCATCATAAGAAGGCTTGTTCGTAAGTAAACTATATGCTGTTCCTACACAGGGCAGGACATGTGCAGAGAAGATGCTTTACTGTGTCTTCTGCTGTGATGCCGGTATATTGTGAAAGCTGCATGAAATCTAGGTGGGAGCGCCTCAAACTTTTACCATGTTTAGAAAATGCTGAAAAATCTGTCTCTTAATGCAACTCAGGGACATAAGAACTTCTTCGGCAGTAATTTTGCGCCATGAATGCCGCGCCTTATCGGTAGTCTCATCAACACAAGGCTACATATTTCCGTTTGCTAAGCTACAATGTCCTCTCTGCAATGTTTTACCAGAGTGGAAGTAGCCGTACCATAGCTCCATAAAAAATGTCGATGCCTACAAAAAAATTTGCCCTGAAAAGGCTCGTAAATCATTTCTATTTGAGGCTCGGTCAAAAATAACGCAAGTAATTTTGGAGTCGTTCCCAAAAAATTGATATTCCGTAGACGTCAGCAAAAGCAATGGGCCTCATCAGGGTTAGGACTCCGGCAAGCCTAAATTGGAGTAAATGACGTGAAAAATCGTAACAGAAAATAAAATTCCGTCGCTCGTTGGATGGAAGAACCTAATAACCCAAAGAGAGAATTTTTTTTAGTTAAGTATGCAACAATGGCTGTCGATCCTTTTTTGTTCTACGAAAAATGCGTTAAGCTATTTTCTAATTGTGTCCCTGTAACTTTACCCATTACACCTTAGGCTTTACAATTTGACAACAATCTCTCTACAACCAAAGTGAGGAACCAAAGGAAGTTTTAATGACGGAGTCATACGCTACTATTTGAAGCAAGTGTTGCATATTTTAACGAACGAGTGGCGAAAATTATCTTAGAAATTACATATCAACTGTTATTAAAATTGTTATTTTTCAGAAAAAATACCAATATTGGCGTTTTCTTTTCTACAAAACATTTTGCATTCTCGTCGCTCTCTTCTTACTGTTTGTGCGAAGTGGGCAATGGGAAGGTAAAATTTTGTGGCTAGAAAAGAAAACGTAATAAGGCACGATGTAGGAAGCAAAGGTGCCGGCCATCTTGTCCCGCTATTGCCCTGTCAGTGAATTCGACAGAATTGTGTTTGTATTTTTTTAAAAAGAAAATAACCTACATATTTCTTGAATTTTATTGCGGTATTATGCGCGCTTTGTAACTTTCGAAAGAAAAGCGGAGTAGCGTAGAAAATGTCTCGAAACACGTAGAAAATCTACTACGATCTTAGTAAAGTTCTAACCCTGGACTTCATCCATGAAATGTGAGCCTTAGCTTCTACTTGATTTTCAAGTATAAGTTCTGGAGTTTGAGCTAGAGGTAGGCAAAACGCGTGATTTTCTACATGACACGCCGCGTCACGCTTTTTCGCGCGTGAGCGTGAGCGGCTTTCAGAGAAAAATCACGTAACTTCCGTACTCGTGCGTGACTGAGAGTTTTGCTAGCGTGAGTTAAATTTTCCGTCAATCACGTAATATTCACATACATATGTATGCATGTGTATTTTCAACCAAAATAAAATCGTATACTACTACTGTGTATACTTTTGACGAATTCAGATGAATCTGCATAAATAGTTTTTAAAGACATTAACGCGGAAACACAGATTAATTTGAAAAAATCAGAAAACAAAAGTTATACGATGTTTTAAAACTTTGGAACAAAGCTACAAATGTGCTACTCCTTAGAAGCCTTTCAAGGCAAATTTTAAACATACCTAGCTAGCAACGAGTGAAGAAGTTGTTTCTGTGTCAGGAAGAATTCTACAAAAATATTATTTTTAAACAAAAATATGAGCTAATGTCAGTTGGTCCTTTCTATACTCGTAATACATATATTTCTACATACATATGATATATCTGAAATTTGTAAAAAAAAAAACTAGTGCGTTCATCCCATGCAAGGCGTCTGGTCGAGCTTTTGTTAAAATACTTGTGTGATAAAAGCTTATATATATGAAATGCTATTTATATACAGTTTCAATTAGGAAAAAAAAATTCCGTGAATAAACGCGCGTGTGTGATTAAAAAACTAGGCATCGTGAGCGTGCGTGAACGTGTTTGAAAAAAATATAACAGAACGTGAGTGTGCGTGATTTGCAAAACCATCAACGTGCGCGTGCGTGAACTTGAGCCATAATCACTGACGCGCCCATTTCTAGATTGAGCTCACTCCATCAGTGCAAAAATGGAGTCTGAGCTTAAGCTAACTTTTTATGGTAAAAGTTTTCGAGCATCTCCTTGTGAAGCGCGGAAAAGTGTAACTTGACTGGGTTAGTTTTCCATGAAATCAAACGTAAGTGTCGGCGGGAAGGGAGGAGGGAAGTGAAGATATGCCTTGGGCGCTGTGCGGTTGTTTCACAAGCTGGACAAATGTTTTGTATATCCAAGTCGATTCTATTCGTATACATGTGAAATACACATGAGCTATGGCTTACCGATCACTGGTATAAAACTAAACTAGGCCAGAGTGACGACGTTATTACGAGGCAGGTGCAGCCCTTCATCTGGTTGCATTCCGAGTACGGCATTCATGGGGTGAGAGATCCAGAAAGTGATGTCAGTTTCTCGGCAAATAACGTTTCAGACCTGTCTGTATAAAGTAGGAGCCAAAGGTTTTTTAATGCATGTCTAGATTTTGACTGTTAGTTTGTAAAGATACCACCCCGCATGCTTGGGAGACGAAGCTGTTTCAAGCAGGCGTCAGTTTGTATACTCTCAGCGGGGGGGATACGGTAGCTCTAGTTTACTCAATAATAACAA